AATTATGCCTCTTTCATTTTAGAATGAACACAAATTATAACACTAAAACATAAATGTTTAAACAAAATAGCTTAAATCTCATAACATTATACATTTATATATATATATATTTTTTTTTTATATTGACCTTTCACCCATGCCTGGCTAACAATACAGAAATTACAATGACACGGCTCATATACACTCATGTTACTGTATCAAATAACATAAATGTGACCTTTGGTCTGTACAAAGTAATTTGTCTTGGCTGTGTTTTAGCTGACCAGTATTTTGTAAAATACAGTCACATTTCAATTATTATACATTATATGTGTATACAGATTATTGTCATTTTGAAACAAGTTCTTAAATATATTTTTCCTACAATATAGAACAATAAATAAAAAAGCAAAGCAAATAACTACCCCTTCTAGTTACAACCTTTGTACTTGGTTGCAGCTTTATGTAAGTTGCTAAGCCTTTAAAAATTTTGCACATGGAAGATATGAAAAAAAATATATTTTTTTTAGGTTTTATATATACATTTGGATAACTAAAAAATCATAAATTACAACATTAATACCATAGAATTTTACTATAACTTATCAAGCTTAGTAACTAAGCTGTATTTGGGTCTAAAAAAAATGAAATTTCGAGCAGACTAAAGACACAACCTATCTCATTGAAATCTTGGTTCCAAAGAAAGAAATAGCAGATGGAACATTAGAAACGCTGAAAAAACCACTAAGGGGGCATTCTGAGCTTCTGATTGATTGTTCATGTCATATATAGAAGTGTATAAAAGGAAGCGTTTCCAAAAACGGAAAAAGGTGGGCGGGATGCATGTGTGGTGTTTGATTTATTCCGTGAGCAATATCTTAGCAAATAGAAAAGATAAGACGTTCTTATTTTATATTCTAGCTTGTCAATATCTGTAATTTGAGTTTCTAATTCGTGTGAAACTATACACTTATTATTTTGACTTCACAAACATCTAATTTGAACCAGTGCTGCATTCAACATACTATGTGACACACAAAAAAACGATGTTCATCTGTGTTTTTTTAATATTTACTTTTAAATTAACAAATTGAGTAATATATAGTTCTAAAATTAAAAATTATAATCTACAGTTTGATACCAAACTTACTGACATAAATTTTGAATGCGAGTCAACAAATGAGATGTCATGGCCTTTCACTTGTGACCCGTCTCAAAAGGGTTAAAACTGATAAGTGAAGGATAGAATCACAAGTTAAAATAGTTAGAAATCACACAGGTGAAAACTGAGCAGCAAAGCCTAGAGTCACAAGTTAGAAAAATGTGACATTACATTTGCATAACCTCTAAAACCTCCTAAGTAAATTTCAAACGTTTTTCTCAGTAAAGCTATTTATTTTATTTATAATTTGCAATACTCTAGCTCTATTCAAAGTTGGTAAATTCGACCAATCTTGTAATCACCAAAAAAACAATTTCTTTAAAATAACCTTTTTTTCTTTCTAGAGTGACTTCAAATTGTAACAGGAAACAACATTTATCCTGAGTAAACTCATATCAGTATACATCTGTTTAAACTTACGTTTTATTACTTTCCCGCCATAAAATTTGTAAATCACTTGGGAAATGTGCAGCTCATTTTACCCTATCGAAATACATTATGCACGAGTTACTCGTGAGCATACCTCTTGAATATTTTTATTATTATGATTTATTATACCTAACCTAACATAAAAAGTTTCTAATTTTTTCATTTTACCTACTTTTAAAAAATTTTTAAAGAAATACACATGAAGAATAAGAAATAAAGTGCTTATCTGGTCTTCTTTTTCTTTTGCTGTCGATGACACTTAACCTTCCTTTTTTATATTTATGGTAGTAGTGCACTAAATAATTTTTTACTTCATTAAATAATGCACCAAAGAAAACAGAATAATTACATGCATGAAGCAGACAATGTCCCATAACTATCACAGTTGTTCTGAGTTTCTAACTATGCGACAAGAGCCATTAAAAATTCAGCTAAGCTTGTTGATATGTTGGAGCAAATGAAAAAGATGGTAATCTGATGGTGCCATATCTGGAGAATATAGTGGGTGGTGGAGAACTTCCCAATACAACTCAAATGTACCACATATGGACGTGCATTGTCGTGGAGAAGAAGAACACCTTTCCAATTGACAAGTGAAGGACGTTTCTGATGAAGGGCTTGATTTAAACATTCCAGTTGCTGACTATAGATCTATGCATTGACAGTTTGCTGTGGTTTAAAGATTTCGAAATTAATTACTCCTTTGATGTCCCACCAAATTTAAAGCATCACTGCGGATGGAGTCCAGGTATTGGCGTCAAAAGTGATTTTTGTTTAGGACTAAGCCATTGTTTTTGGCATTTAATATTCACATAGAGAATCCATTTTCCATCACCAGTGACAATTCTGTCCAAAAATGGTTCATGCGCCAGAAGAGGTGAAACAACATTCACATGTTGGAAACGATGATCATCAGAGAGTTCTTTATGGAGTTTTCCCATATTCCTTATATGTTTACGTATTGTTTCATGAGAGACAAGCAATTTCAGGGCCATTTCACAAGTGTGTTGCATTGGGTTAGACTCAACAAGCGTCTTCAGATCATCAATATCAATTCCAACATGGCAGCCCGTGCCATCACAGTTTTTAAGGCGAAAGTCACTTGAACGAAATTTGCTGAACGATCGTTGATACTTACAAATGTTCAAAACATTTCCATAAACTTCTTTGATATTCTTTGTGGCTACAGAGGCATTGTTTCCTTTCTTGTATTCAAACAGCATTACATGCCGAATGTGTGTCTTGTCGTGTGCCATCACTATAAGGGATTAATTAGAGTATACAAAACTTTACACATTATATAGGCTACACTAACGTGACGTTTAGGCAGTTTGTTTAACTATTATACATCATATACGTTTTTTTGGGGGGGTGATTAATGAAAGCATTCCAAAATGCAACATTAATTCTTGATGACCTTATATAATATTTAATGTAAGATAGAGAGAAATATTGACAATTTCTGAAAAAGAGGATATGACAGGTGGATGTGGCTCTAACTAAATAAGATTGAAGGGTATTAAAATTATATTTTGTTTGAGTGATGACAACATTATAATGAGTAACTTACATTAAATTTCATACTTCTTGGAGGGGTGCAAAATAAATTAGAGAAGAGGGGATGTCTAGAGAGAAAATGTTACAATTCTCATACTAGGGGAAATTCGGAATTTGTTTTTTAATATTAGATTAAGGACTTAAAACTTATATGCTATTAAAATATTGATTATTAGCTTTGTTTTATGCCAACTTTATTTCTATACCATGATACAAAAGTAGTTTAATTAAATTTTAAATGTAACTTAGTAAAACCTTGTGACATTCACAGAAGAAGATGCTCAAAGCAAAAGAATTAAATAAAATATGTGATGACTGGAAATATTATTATATTGATTAATTTTTATCTAACTATTATTAGATACTGGACCAAGTTGCTGGTAATCAAAGTGGCAACTGCTGTATGCCATTTCCAGAGAGTATGTTGGAGGGTGAAGACTTACCTGTCAGAATCAGTTCCATTACGAGCAATAACCAGCTTCAGTTTCGACAAGCCACCAACTGGAGCTCGATCACTTCCTGTAGCAAACTGAAGAAACTTTCTTTTCTCTTCTAAACTAAATTTATGGAATAATTCCCAGAAATACCTAGAAATACAAACATTTTCTCTGTAAAAAAAATCTTGATTTATTATTCTAACTTTAATTACAGGGTATAAAATTAAGGACACAAAAAGCTTTTGTTTAATAAACTATGTTGGGTGGGTATATATACAAGAAAAAAAAGGATTAATTCATGTACAATTTCAGCACTATTTCATTTATATGATAAAATCAACTACATATTTTCTACCACTGATACCATTTAACAGATAAAATAAAAAACACAAGTTTGATATCTATGAATTCCATTGACTCAGTCACAGTGAGTACTACTTTTTAAAACAGGTGACAATCAAGTGTCATATTGCATATTGTACAGTACTAGTTATTGAAAACTGGTGACAATCAAGTGTCATATTGCATATTGTACAGTACTAGTTATTGAAAACTGGTGACAATCAAGTGTCATATTGCATATTGTACAGTACTAGTTATTGAAAACTGGTGACAATCAAGTGTCATATTGCATATTGTACAGTACTAGTTATTGAAAACTGGTGACAATCAAGTGTCATATTGCATATTGTACAGTACTAGTTGTTGAAAACAGGTGACAATCAAGTGTCTTAGTGCATATTGTACAGTACTAGTTATTGAAAATTAGGTGACAATCAAGTGTCATATTGCATACTGTACAGTACTAGTTGGTGAAAACAGGTGACAATCAAGTGTCAAATTGCATATTGTACAGTACTAGTTTTGAAAACAGGTGATAATTTCAAGCGTTGGAATGCATGTTGTACAGAACTAGTTGAAAACTGGTGATAACCTCAAGTGTCAGAATGCATGTTGTACAGAATTAGTTGAAATCTGGTGATAACCTCAAGTGTCAGATTGCATATTGTACAGTACTAGTTTTGAAAACTGGTGATAACCTCAAGTGTCAGAATGCATGTTGTACAGAACTAGTTGAAAACTGGTGATAACCTCAAGTGTCAGAATACATGTTGTACAGAACTAATTAAAAACAGGTGACAATCTCAAGCGTCAGACTGCATGTTGTACAGTAATACCAGTTTTGTTACAAACTTCCATGTGTCATAGTCACATACTTGCAAATGGTGGAATGTTTTGCCAATGTAGCTGGCTTTACAGCTACCACATGTATATCTATATATGACCTTTGAACATGAGAATGAAGGGAGAATGTCCTCAGTTCTAAAAAATTCACAGGTATGAGATGATGATTTAAAGATGAAATGGACCTTAAACAGGGGGTAGAAAGGTATTGAGGTGAGTTATAATTATAGGACTGTTTTCCAAGGTAAAGAATAGCAAGTTTTAGAGGAAATATACAACAGAGATTGATATTAACGGTGGAATATATTTCTTCTTTAGAAAGTTATGTGTTAAATTTTGAAGTACAGATAAAGGATACCCATTTTTTTATTAAGGTTTTCTGAAGGAAAATAATTGGAGCTGATGAAGAAGCATTAAGAACCACTTTTGTTTCAAAGTGTGTCCATAAGCCAGTAAAAGTTTTCTTTCTGTAATGAGAGGTACTAAATTCATTGTTTCATCTTTGAACGTAAATGTCAATGAAAGAAAGAATGTTTGATCTTCAATTTCACAGATGAAGTTCATATTAATGTTTAGAGTTTAGGAGTTTAAGGATTTTTTTAAGTTTTCATCTCCATATAAAAGAAACAGAATCATACCTCAACTTGAAACCTGCACACTTTATATAACAAAAATTAAGAACTTTAAAAGGGCAAATTACTTCTAATATTTGCTCCCCAACAACTTAAATGGTGAACTGGAAATAATACCTATAAGAACCTAATACCATAACAAAATAAAAACATTATTATCAGCACAATTATATTCACTTATATTTGTCAGTTAAAACCTCACAAATCCATGGAAATCAGAATGAAGAAAATATAACAACAAATTGGTTTAATTGTACAAAACAGTAGTATTAAAAATCAAGAACATTATTAAAACAATTAGGTTATCTGAAGACAAAAAAGAAAAATAATTTATGAAGTTAAATTGTACACTTCATACAGTCAAGTTTTATATAAGAGAAATGGACAGAGACATGAACATCAAGCTCAGTAGAGAGAGAGCATGAGAAATATGAGAACTACCTGTAAAATTTCACTTGTTAATGCATCATTGTAATCTGAATTTCAATACTTCTGAGGATGAAAACCTTGTTAATATTAAAACGTGATCCTACTTTAGAGCTACTTATTATCAAATATCAAAACATGTTCCTACTTTAGAGTTACTTATTAAATATTAAAACATGTTCCTACTTTTGAGTTACTTATTATTAAATATCAAAACATGTTCCTACTTTAGAGTTACTTATCAAATATTAAACATGATCTACTTTAG